TCTTCAAGCTTCTTACTGATGGCGCCGTAGAAGTAAGCTCAAACATTTCTTTTTGGAGATCTAAATTTTGAGTATGTTGATGCCTTAAGTCCGTCACATCTTCTTCTATTCTCTGTACCTTTGCGTCGACCATCTTAATTTCTTCAACCGATGCCTCATCAACCCATTTGAAGAAATGCGACTCATTCGGCCTCTAATTAACAAAAAACCAACATCGATACCCATATGTTAATAATAAAAAATTAAATGAAATTTAGTACATTCAAAGCAATCGAGCATCGATAGAAGATACGGTAAGGGTTTTCCTTTGTCTTCGATACGTATGTGATGATATCGTTACCACACCAACATCCGCAATTCGTCGGAAGATCTGGAGGGTAAGCACCATGTGCTGAACGATATGTACTCGAAGAGTAGTCGCTCATATTAAAATTGAGAAGTAGAATTCTTTAATCGAAGATAAACCAAGAAATCGGATGGGAATCCCAGAAATCGATAAGAACCCTAAATCCCCAATCTGATAGCTCGATTATGACTATAAGGGAGAAGAAAGAAGTAAACGACGTCGTCTGGAATTAACTCGGCCAAACCACGAATTTAATTTACGATAAGTCAACCAAACCTCATTATATAACTCAGTCGTAACGTTATGTTATACCTCAGACGGAACGTAACTATAACTCAGCCATACCCCGAATTTGAATATCAAAATCATAAATCAGCCATATCTAACGTATAGATGTTGAAAGAACACACGAAAAGCTTGTGAAGTTGGTTCTCGATGACTACAGATTGAATGAGTATCATGTAACAATGAGCTACATGTTATTGTTACAATAATTCAGCCAAACCTCGAAGTGGTCTCTGTAAGTCAACCATGACGCTGACATAACTCAGCCAAACCACAAATTTATTTACGTTAAGTCAGCTATGTCGTTGGCATAACTCGGCCAAACCTCGAATTATTCTACAATAAGTCAACCATGTCGTTGGCATAACTCGGCCAAACCTCAAATATGATAGATGTGAATATTTGATGCACTCATGTAATAAAACACTTTAATAATATGTAGTTAACACTTTTATTAACTTTCCATAAAAAAATCATGAAATTCGCTCAGGTTTGTACCTTTTAAAACTTATCCAACAAAACGATAAAGCTCAAACCCTATACTTATGTTCTATTCCTACATAGTTGATCAAATATAGAATGGAAAAGAGCTGTTATTGATTTTTGTTAATTGTATTATAATATATTTAATGTAACATGCTATTGTAATCCGCTGCTAATGTTAACATTCAAGCG